CCACTTTGAATGGACTTCAGCTCCCAGAATTCTGGGAGTTGAAGTCCACTCATCTTAAAGTGGCCAAGTTTGGACAACACTGGTCTAAGTAATCTTTGAACATAGGCATAAATTAAGTCAATACCTTTCCTAAGAATGGAATAATCAACATCAAATAATGGTTTCTCACTTGGAGGGAACGATTTAGCTTTTTTGTAGTGCTGTCTGTGTTCCCTAGGAAGTTGCAATGGGGCTGCTGCTCCCTTGCTTGAGTTGCACTATGTGAGTTTCAGGACTGGCACATAGTCACAGCTTCTGCATTGATGTATCTGCTAGTGAAGCCCTCATCTTTAGATGTTGGACTCCTCCCACATTGTCCTATCACTTGGTCTGTCTGTTAGCAGATCTTCCCTCTTGTGAACTCCATTGGCTTGAACGAACAGGAGCTGCTGTTCCTTACCCAGGCAGCCTCGGGGCCTCACACCTCGATAACGTCCTGGAATGGTGTTCCGGATGTGGGTGTGGTCAGCGACATCATTTTCTGGATCTTGAAAGAGCACGGGAGGACTTCAGCAAAGGCTTCGGATCTCACTCGGATCCACTTTCATACGTTGGCCTATCACCTCTTGGCTACCGTGGATGGGTACTGGGCCAACCAGGTGGCTGCGGTGGCTGCTGGAGCAAGAGTGGCGGGGACTCAAGCGTGTGACACCCAGACCATCGATGCGAGCAAAGTCTTCCTGAAAGCCCCGCTGGAGTTTGCCACTTCCAAGATGGAGGGGGCCTCCAGAGTCTCCTTAAATCCGAAGGAGCCTGTATCGGAATGGCACAGGAATGGCGTCGCTTTCCATTACACCCCCGTGCTGGTGTGTAAAAGTCCTCTGCGGACTGTTGGCCTCGGGGACGCCATTTCTGCCGAAGGACTCCTTTATTCAGAAATCCATCCTCATTAACCACTGAATTAAGTGATCACTCCAAAATTTATACCAAGCAGGTACAGAGTGGAAGTTAGGGTTTGATCAAGAACCAAAAGGGGGGGGGGGGAAATGGGTACTGTCCAGAAGCTGCATTATTGCCACGGGAATGTTTACAGTGCAATGGGAAGGTATGAGTTGTTCATTGGAGGGGACACCTTTTGGTCGGAGGGAGAAAGCAAAGGGGCCTATATTTTAATTTAAGACAATTTAATTTGCCATAATTTCTAAAGGGGCATTGTAAGAGGAGATGGTGGTGCCTGATTATCCCAGGTAGGATATATGGATCTTTTTCATATTCATATCCCCCAGGCAGAAGTAAAAAAACTTACTTCTTCACATTCCTGACATTGCAAGACCCAGCCTTCTACTTGTTTGACGGTGGGACGACCAATATATTTCTCTTTTATCTTTCCTATTTCCAAAGATGCACCAGCCTATAAATAGGACGCAAGAAAAGGGTTCTCCTCTCAGGCTCGTGAAATTACCAAGCCTGCTGTCAAAATATCAAGAGTATTTCCTTGGCCGGATAATGCTAAATTTCTTCTTCCTTTTTCTTTCGCTGTTGCTACTTTCAAAGGCGTTTTACTTTTATTGGCAAGGTGATTCTTGAATGTGAGACAGTTTATTTTATCTGTTAACAGCAAATATATGTGTATGCAAAGGCTGGGGGCTGGTCCTTGAAAGGAGAGCCTACAGTACAATCGCTGCTGTCTTCTTAGTGTAACACAGGACAAGTTGCAATAACTCTGTGCAAAATGCTGAAGTACACCTTGCTTAAGCCTTAACGTGGCTCCTAATAAACAACCGTAAAACAACATTTTTAACTGAAGTTTGATTAAGACAACTGGGCTTCTGGCATTCTTGGCTTGCTACATTAGCATCAGGCCTCGGACTCTCATGAATATGGACTTTAACTGTTCATTCCACCTTTTTCTTTGCAGTCCAGCATAGCAACAGTCAGCCTATGAGTCATTTATATAAATACATAAAACAGAGAATCTGCTGGTATCTAAAGCTGGATAAAAGGTGAGGGCGTAAGCCAGTGGAGGCGTGAAGCTTGGCTGCAAAAATTCAGACCTAAATCTGTGCTCGATAATTCCCACTACGCAATATTAGACTTCAGTGGTTTTAATATATACGTGGTTGTTATGAGATTAAGAGGTGTGTTTTTGTCCCAGAGAGGAAGGGCGAGATAAAAGTATAACTAAAGATGGAACTGAAATCTTCAGAGTGGCGTTTGATTGTGGTAGAAGTAAATCAGAGTGGGATTAACACCAGTAGACTTTAACAAGGTATGCTCTGCATTCCCTTCTTTTTAATGTCATTGTAAACTTACTCAGACTCAAGGAAATCGAGTAGTTTCATTCTAAATCTATTGAAAAAATTCCCCAGATTAGTATGTTCTATTTATTCATTTTTTAAAGTGGGGTACAATCTCTCTCTCCAGTTGAAGTAACCCAAATTTTGCATTGCTGTGAAATTGACAAACTTTAAACTTTCCCCTCTTGGGACTGAATAAATGTAACTTTAAATGCTTCTTTGGATCATATTTTGGAAAACTGCCCATATCTTTTCACTGAAAGCAATGATATGGCTTGCATCAGGACTGGTGGGAAGGGGGATGTTTAATTCTTCCCATTTCAGGAGGCTTTTTCCTTGCTTGGCTGAATGTTCGAGAACTCCAATGTAATTAGACACTTGGGTGGGCTTCCGATAGAAGACAGCTTGGAGGAGTGAGCACCAGAATGGTGTCACTGATGAACTAGCAGCTAAAAACTACAAGACTTGAATATCTTTTGCACTTGCTCTTTTTTATAAGAGAAATCTTGGCAGTTAAACGTGCAGCTTCATTCTACAGGTTTTTGCACTGCTTATAATGGTGCACTGCTTTCATTCCACAATGGCCACTATGTAGTGGCTCTACAGGAAAAGCACTTGATAGTTTTTGCTTTTACTCCTTACCTTAGTCCCTTTTAAATTTCAAGTTTATTTCGTTTTGTTCAAGACTAGCAAGCGTTTAATTTTTAAACAATTTAATCCTAGTTAGAGTCACACATGCTGTATTTCGAGCCACTAACCATGCTAATGTCCCATTCACATATTTCCTTATCTTTGGCCTTTCTGTTTCATTGCATTTCTTGTTCTTTGGAATCCAGCTTTCCCTACCCATTCCACTAGAACAATGTTTCTCAACCTTGGTGACTTTAAGATGTGTGGACTTCAACTCCCAGAATTCTGGCTGGGGAATTCTGGGAGTTGCAGTCTACACATCTTAAAGCTGACAAGGTTGAGAAACACCACACTAGAACAAAGCAGCAGCATGAGCTGAAGACTTGCACACCTTACTCTGTCCTCCTTAACATGATCTCCTTCAGGTGTGTGGGAGTTAAAAGTCCCAGCTGACACATGGGGCAGAAATTCTGTAAGTTGCCCAAATATATTTGAAGGGGAGGCTGAACTACAAATAAGGTGATTGCTTCTTAAGGTTACTGCTAAAGGAATTAAAAACATGGACCCGTGTGCCTTTCTGTATGCCTGGAGGCTTCTTCCCATTGTTCTCTTGCACAGTGTTTTCCTGATCTTTTTCATTTTTAAAAATACAACTCTGGCCCCAAACAATTGTTCCGCCCCCTTTAAGACCCTAGCTGCTGGGCGAGTCTGATCACAGGCCTTTCCCTGCAAGGATAATGGGACTGCCAAGTACCAGGGCTTTATACCCAGAGATAAATCTCCCTTACCATTCTCCTTGCCTCCAACTGTTTGGTTACAACAGTCCTATGTTGTAATTAAAACCAACATCAATTAATTGTAATCAAATTACCAAAATTCTCAGGGAGATGTTGGCTTGAGGACCGAATGTAGGATCCAGTGCTTTAAACTGCATAGTTTAAATGGGCAAAGCAACCATTTTCTTGGTGCCAGGCAGTTGCAAACTCAGCTGTGACATGAAAACTACCTTTTAATTTCTTTCTTTTTTTTTCTTTCAATAAATAACCGCAGGGATTGAGTGGACCATTTAAAGAGCGTTCTCTGAAGAGTTTCTTGCCAAAGTGTTCTGCCTGCATGGTTCCTATGAAATAAGTATTTTTTTTATCCTGTATGATGTCTCAATTATATGGTTGTAAAAATCCTACCATGCTATACAACAGTGTTTTCAATAAATGTTGTTTTGCATTTAATGTACAAAAGTAGCCTGTCCTGTTTTATATACTTCACAGGTTGGAATAACTGAAAAGGAAAAAAAACTAAGAGAACAGGATGCTACCTTTTGCCAAAACAGATAGCTCTCTAGGATTTCAAAGAAAGGGACTTTAGTTTTCTAAACTTACCAAGAAATGCGATTGAAGCTGGACCTTGTCCATGCAGCATATGGTAGACTAATGCCTTTCACAACTTCAGCTTTGTTCCTGCTTATATTGAGAGAAATTACTGTTCAGTAAAGGGAGGGCTACTATCCACTTTAGTGACACCGTATATAAAGGCCCACACAGTCCCCTTGGCTTCAATGTTCAAGCTTCAGTTTGTTCTACCTGAGTGTAACTCATAAGCTGAAGAACCTCTTCCTTGCTAATATGGGCAACTGGGCCTAAGTATGGGGTCTTGCTTTACTTCAACAAAGTATATTTCCCTAGTTCAGGGCAGGACTTTAACGAACCTAAGACAGTCCAGTCCCTGCTTTCCCCTTCAGACAGATACCCCAGATCTTCCAGGAAGCTTTGCTCAAGGTAACCTACATGAAACTCTCTTTGTTGCTTTAGCAGTTGCAACTAATTTAGGTGTGCCATCAGCTGGTACAAATGTGTTCATTTCCCAAAGGTAATTTCGCTGTCTTATTCTGTTTGCTATTGAGTCTTCTAATCCTTTTATATTTGTCTGAGAGAGTTGTGGACAGAGATATCTACAGGATCCAATGCTTTCATCAAAATGACAAAACAAGCATTGTGTCATCACACTACAAGCTCTGCCCCTTTTGTATCTCCATGCAATGTGGTATATGTACAAAAGGGGTGGGAATTATAGCACAACACTTGTTTTCTGTCACACACATACACACATTCCACAGCTACCTCTGGTTATGGACCAGCCTAATGCCCATATTATATTCACAATATAAGGGAGTTCAATACCAGGGGAAAAGTAATATATAGAAGGGATTTTAGTCAATTCATTACTTCTTTATTTATACAAAAAAACTTAGCCCATCCAATATATGTACTTTTCTACTATGTTGTCTGTAAGTAAATTCCACCATGAAGTAGTTGGTGAAGGAGGGAAGAATCTGTTCCTCAGTCACTTAAGTGGTCCCACTGGGTTCCAAAGAAGTGGCAGGAAACGCAGAAGTCCTATGAAAGCATTTGCAGCAAAAGCAGCTGGATTCTACCCAAGTTTGACAATCTTAAACAAGTTACTTGTTTGAGGAATATACAAGTGGGTACTTCTCGTTACCATTCAACAGAACAGTTAGGTGATAGGTTCAGAAATGCTACCCAACAGTAACTCAGCACCACTAGAAAAATACTAGAATAGGAAGGGCTATAATCTCAAAATCTAGAGGCGTCCCTCCGATGGTGCTGTCCTTAGTCAAAACGTAATATAATAGACTCACTTCTCTTCCTGTTGTGAAGGTCCAATTGCTTCCAGGAAAAGCTACTCAAACCTTGTCTCTATCTTGACGGCATCTTTAATTAGCCTACGTGTGGAATGTTAAGGAAACAACACAATTTCCAAGCATCTCATCAGCTAATTGTGTGCAAGAGGGCTGTTGCGCTCTTTGGTCTGGTGCAAAGTTTGTAGGATACTAAATGCACCTTGTCCCTATGCATCCAATAGGATGAATACACCACTCTACAAGCTGTCCAAGTTGGCCATCTCTTCAAGATTCCTTGGCTTGTTCAATGGGCTGAATTTGCTCCTGCCGTTTTATTGTAAGTTCCTCAGCAGTAGGCTCATTGGGTTTAGGCTCCAATGGTAGGGAAGGAACCTTTGCCAGCTGAGTTGAACTTCCAATAGCTGAAGAAGGAAAGAGCACAAATCAGTGATACAACCTTTCTTATCTTCCAGTTAAAAAGCGGTGAAATACATATTGATACTGATTATGTTTCTGTATTGCTTCCTTTATGGTGCTGGAAATTCAACACTTCTGTACTTCATTCTTCCCTTTATCTTCTCCACTTCATTTATTTTATTGATCTATTATGCTGTCTCCTTACCAAAGGACCTGAAATATTGCAAAGAATCTAAACATCCACACAAGTTTGAGACTTCTACAGTTCTACACTGAAGACCCCAATTAGGGCTTAGTCAGCCAAGAATTTACCACTTTTCCATTCTTCCCCCCAAATTGCCATCCTTTTTGTTTTACTGCCTTCTTCTTTAATTAAAAGTTCTCTTATACACCACTTTACTACTCTGAATTGGGTTCTTAAATAAATCAATCGCTTCCCGTTCTGTGGTCATCACTTTTAAGAGATACTGCTGACACTGTGCAGTTTCCTTAGGCTTCCATTCTGCTTTCTGTCATGTGCTGGTATTCTCTCTTTCTCCCTCTGCTGCCCTGCCATCAGCAAGACGAAAGAGACAAATCTTATGAGGGTACCTTTCTGCACAGCTGAGTTCAGATTTCATTGGGGGGTTCTCCCCCTTATCCTGGCAGTGTTTGGGCCCGATGGTTAGATGAGCTCTGCTGGTTAATGTTTTTTGACGGGTTGTGTTGTGTTTGTGGCCCTAGTTGTTGTTAAACTGATGTGGTTTTTAACCCTTGCATGGTGCCGAGAGTCACTTTTGTGAGATGGGCGGCAATATAAATGGTTTATATAGATAAGTATCTAGTATGAATGAGAAGACACAGCAATGGAATCAACATATGACGCTCTACCTATCTCGGGTTATGGTCACCCCTCCTTTTAATCTGGGCAGGTGCAAAACTAGATATAAACATTTGGCTGAAGCCAGCAAACTACTACCCAAGACATGTCAGGGGCCACTGAATTCAAGCTTTGTTGAGTAGCTCCCAGCTCTATGAGTTCTTCCCTAATATTCACACAACCAAGAAGGCAGGCCTGATTCTGCTTATGCAAACAGGCACAAGAAAACCTACCTTGACTCATGGTCTTTGCATACCCAGCTGCAGAAGACATCGCCTGTCCCAGAGCTTGATTAGAACCCAATGGCTGTGTGCTGGATGCTGTCCCTCTTGGCTTTGACTTTGAGTCTTTACCAGGTTTAGCCCAGATTGCAACTTCTCCAAGCTGTAAGGCAGTGCCCAGTTTCTGGGCTATATCCACCATCTGGCCATGCAAGAGAAAAAGAAGGAGAACTGAATGCCTGGTCAAATCCTGGAGCAGATTTCACCCAAGTCCCATACCAGTTTTCCTTTCACATGAAGAAAATAAGAACCTTGAAAGATGTCTACATATATTTGGAAAAACGTCTCCTCAATCTGTCAGCTGTTTCCAGAAGCAATTTTAATATTTGAGAGGGACACAAATTGAATCCTCTCACTTGACTAAGGTATACGTTTAAGAAGCCTACTTTCACTAATACAGATATCTTCTCTAATAGAACACCTTGATTAAGTCAACTGCTCTGATCCCCTGCTGTGGAAGCTCCCATTAGTAGTTTAAGTCAACATACCTCAGGATCAAATTCCAGTGTGCTTTCTTTTAACGCATGGACCTTTCTTTTCATCTCATAGTACTGAAGAACAGCCCCCTTCTTATCTCCTTGATTGTACAGCAGTATTGCATAATTCAGACTTATGAGAGGGTTGCATCTGTAACCCAGAAGACAAACAACGAGGGGTAGTCTTAACTTGCTATTGGTCAGTTAGGGGTAAAAGCAGACAAATGTGACCAGTTGTGTGTAGTCACCGAATTCTTTAATATAGATATGATTACAGAGGCTTGATTTTGTGGTCAGGTCCAGGTCAGTGAATTAGGCTAAGCATAGGAAGAGAGAGCATTTGTGACTTTGAAAAATTGTTTTCATTGGATTGTTGTGCTTTAACCTCTGCGTGTTCCATGCTTCCAGAACAGGACAGAAACTCAGATCGTTGGGGTTCAGGGTCCAAAACGCAGCTAAAAGTCACTCTTTGGGAGTTTGCTCCCATGCTGAAGTGGGATGAATGGCTACACAGGAGTGGGCCTTTCCCCCCCAACTTCTGGAATATTCCCCCCACTGAGGGATGCTAGGTGCTGGTCTTATTGTCATTTCAGCACCAGGCAAAGATATCCTCATTTTCCCAGGCCTTTTAATAATACGTTACGTCTGCTGTGATTTTTAGCTTTTTATTGATGCTTTTACTTTCTTACCCTATAGTTTTTAACTGCAACTGCTATTTTTAATGGTAAACCCCTGAGATTACTGTTACTAGGAAGCTGCATTGAAAAGCTTTAAATAAATCAATTAAATAATAGAATCACATCACTTTTCCCTGCCTTAGCATGTTTTTGTGATTACGTGGGCTAATCATTCTGGGGCAGGGATGCTATAGAATTACCCAATCCCAAGCAATAATGTTTACAGAGGAAATATCAGGGGCAAGAAAGGCACGGATCTGCTTTTTGATCAAGAATCATGGTCACCATCTTCTGGGCCTGCTTTTCATTTACAAAAATAAGTTAGGAAAGTTGTATATCTAACACCAATAAGCCTCACAATCCAGCTTTTGGCTCTGAAGGAGACAAGGCTCTACAGCATCATTTGCGTTGAGTACAGAGGAAGCACTCCCTAAAATTAGGTCAGTAGACATACGTGTCCAGTGCTGAAGCTTTCTGATAGGCTAGCCTGGCATTTTCAGCATCTTCAAGATTTGTCAGGGCAACTAAAATCAGGAAAGAAAAAAAAACAGAAGGGTTTATCTCCCTAATGTGGAGGAACTCTAAATTAAATTGTACACTTGAACCACGGTCATGTTCATTTTAAAGAATGAAGGTCCTCATTCTTAAAGTGAAATTATCTTAACATAATCTTTTAGGAAGGATTGAGACCGTTAATAAGAACTGTATGCCTAAAAGACTGCATCGATTAATACTAGCTATCATAGCAAAGCAGATGTTTCTGGATGCCAGTAATCAGAAATTTCACTGTGGTAGCTAGGGAAGCATGGAGGGCAGGTGCAGCATTCATACCTGCTAACAACATGTAAAGTTCTGCCAACTTTGGCTGGAGATGGACAGCTGCACTGATGAAGTGGAAGGCAGAAGCATACTGATGCATTGTCAGATGGACCAGCCCAAGATTGTACAGGATCTTCCAGTCAAAGGGTGCAAGGTAGTTTGCCCGTTTCAGGCAGCTGATGGCCTGTGGAAGAACATTATTCTGTCACTAAGGGAGAAGACGGGGACCTTCCAAGGCTACCTTCTGGGGCTTTACTGCCCCTATGAAACAGCAGTGCCTTTCTCCAAAAGAAATGCTACTCTTCACTTGCAGATCCTGGCTAAAGTGAACTTAATGAGATGAAACTCGATCTACTCGCTCTCTGATAGATCAGTCCGTTCATTAGAACCCACTGAAGTCCATCCTTTGGCACAACGTATTTGCAATGTAGGAAATGTATTAACTGCTTTCACCCTAAGAGTCACATTTGGGCTGAGGGTAAATTCAGCTGCATACATATGTACATAAGTGCAAGAGCACAGATACACAGCTTTCTCTCTTGTACTGAACTGGGGAAGAGAGTAGGCAAGAATTAACCTTGCCCATCTTCTTCCCCAGTTCAGTGGTGCTCCCAACTCCAGCAACAGGAATGGGGCAACGTGCATCTGGGTTCGGTGGCACAGCAGACTTCTGAGGGTCATGTGTGACATAGAGATCATTGTTCATTCATGGTCATTTATGTTAGAGAAGAGCCAATAAAGTATAGAATGTTACTATATAGCTAAATAGTTCAGACAGATTAAAAAAAAAAGAGGTGTCAGAGCCATTAATTGCTCAGTGGGGAACTGGATAGTCTTAAAACATGTACACATACTTGGAACAGCTGCATATCAAACAGTGCGCGTACCCCTCTGAGGCACATGGCCCAGAAGACAAGGTTAGAGGTTCAAAGATTGAGAGGTACTGGTGCTTGATCAAGTATTCACAAATCCCCCAAGTCAGGATGCTCTGGTGAGAATGCCAGAGGCAGAACACACTGGGAAATGGAGAAACAGCAGGAGTCTCTTCCTTGCTGTTTCTTATTTTCTCCAAATGTTGGGGCGAACGAGATACAACCCTCCTCCCTCTCCCTGTGTATGCGCGGCCCCCCTCCCCAAGCCAGAGGCTTTGAAAAGAAAGCGGTGTGCTGGGAAACAGCCGAAGTAAAAACACTGAAGAAAGAGCCTCCTCTCTTTCTCACATCCAAGGAGCACGGCAACACGAGAAACACATGGAGGAAGAGAAAGAGCCAGTGGGAGACGGAGGGAGAAGCTCTGTTCTTCATCCTACTGAACAAACAGGGAGAGCAAGGAATAGGAAGCAAACACCTACCGCTACATATTTCTTTTTGCCAAAAAAGCACATCGCGATGTTGTTCCAAAGCGGAGGGCTCTCAGGAACAGCACAAGCAACTATTCGGTACTTGCTGAGAGCAACATCAAAGTCCCCGTGTGTTTGCATCATACTGCCAGCTGCCAAGATGGCCTTTGAAAGACAAAAAGCCCAACTGAAGTAGGCCAACTAAGGGAACTTTTCACTAATAGAGATTAAGTAAATATGGCATGAAGTTCACATTTTTAGAGCGCTAAATGGAGACGTGTTGCCTTAAGGATCAGGAATGCATCCAAAGGCAGAGACATTGCAAAAATTGTGGCCCAAAAGGTGAGAGGAATGTGATACTGCAAGCCAGAAATAACTGAATTCTTGTGGTCTGGAAGTGGGGGCCGAAATGATAAAGGTGGTTCATGCTATTCCATTCTTCTTTGACTCAGTTGCTTATTTACATACATACATACGTACGTACATACGTACATACGTAGTCTTTTGGGGTAAGCAAGTTTATACAAAGTACAGGAAAGCAGTAAGAAACAGTAAGCCAAGGACATCTAGGTATGAGGTAGGAAAAATAGAAGGAAATAGCTAAATCTAGTTTAGACCCTTCACTGTACCTTTCAAAACCAATTATCCTTGCTTCTGCTATGACAATGTACCACTTCATACATTCCCTTTTGGGTTCCTCTTTTTTTTGAAGATCTCTATTCATCCGCAAGTTTCATGGGAACCATTCACTCTTCTTTTGTTTATCTGCTTTGAGATTCAAACCGCATTTGTTCCTTCTTTCGATCTAACTACTCCCAATATACTTCTTTCATGCTATTCACATACTTTTGCATTTACTACCATTCATTCTGGAACTGCCTCTCATTTTACTACATACCCTTCTTAACTATCCCATTCTTGCTATAGCCAACTTACTTTCATGTTGCCCCTGACATACTCAACTCTCATTTCCATTTAACAAAGCAGAGAGAAACCCATTTCATACACAGCCATTTTTGCTTATTTCAAAAAACATTCATTACTTGCAACATTTTTACCATTTGCACATCTTAATATTTCTCTGTTTTCCTATTCTTCATAAACAGCCTATCAAGATAAATTCATCTACTTGTCATTTACGTATAACTTGCAATTGTTCATTTTCTAACCTCTAACACCGTCACATTTATACATTTATTCATAAATACATTAAACCAGCAAGGGGCCATCATACATCTTGTCTTACTTCCAGCTCAGCATCAAGCCATTTGCTAAGCAATCCATATACTTTCATGCCTGCTTTACTTCCACACTACACTACTCCTCACTGCATTCCACAATTATCTTTATATATGTATAAAACAATCATAATTTAAGCTTATCTTCCTATTCTCCAAGTTACCTTATAGTTGCAGGGGTCATATGTGAGTGCATTCCCAAGGTACTCAAAGGCTTTCTGATAAATTTCAAGCTAAGAAAAGAAAAAGCATGAGCAGAAAGTGACTTAACACATTGATCACTGTGGATTATTACACTGTCATTGCATCCAAGAAAGGTACTCCTATGCATTAAGTTCCAAGTAACACAGCATCAGAGGATCACAGCAGACTAGTAAAGGGGACATTCACTGCCTTCCCATCTTCAAAATTCAAAGTATGAATTTTGCATGTAACATCCAATGGAAGTGGGGAGACTCTCTCTTACTCACTCTCTCATTCTCTTTCTGTACTTTGCTCTTCCCAGAGATAACCTCATCTGAAAGATCTCCTAGACATCAGTCTATAACCAAAGGTCCAGGAAAGGGTCCTGCCCAGAACACCAGGAATAGAGCTTGAATACAGGCCCAGATTCTATAAACTCATTTTAGACAAAAGCTAGGGATTTGATGGAGCAACAGAAGTGATAAAATTGCCAGCAATAGCATCATCTCTTTATGCCCAGGAAAAATTGAAACTCATGTTTCTATAGCTCACACACAACCTAGTATTTTCAACCACCCTTTTTCCAAGGCCATGTAGTTACCCAGAAGCAATGGCAATGCATTTATATTAAAGGACATCTGGCCAAGCGTCTATTTGCCCAGCTTTACTGAATTCCTAGTTTGGGCATATAAGAAGACTGGAAGAGAGCCTTCAGTCTGCAAATTAGATGCGGGGTGGAGAGGATAACATGGTGGAGGTTTACTTTCAATGCAAAGATGCCTGAATGGAAAAGCCATCTACTGCCAACTATAACTACCTAATTAATTACCAACTTCTCATACCTCAAGGTAAAGTAAGCCCAGAGTTGTAAGGAGCTCTGTGTTTTCAGGAGAGAATCTGAAACACACAGAAATAGAGATCACAGGATTTTAAGGCATCTATTGCCATCATTAATTCCAAGCAGTATTCATTCTTACGCAGGGGAATGAATAAGCCTCACAACAGGTGGCCCAAAATATCACGGTGCTTGAGGAAGAAAGTACCAACGTTTTCTGTAACAATGATTAAAAATATATCTTCTTTTAATGGCAACATCTAATTAGCCAGTCAAAATAGCCTGTCTCCAGTTTAAAGTCAATTTAATTGGTTTTGGATTAAAAGTTTAGGGGTTTACCAAGCCATGCGCGTGCTGGGCTTTGCCTCTATGCTGGCAGTTGATGTTAAAAATACTATGCTGAATTATTGCACATAGCACAGATTCCAGTCAAATCCCAATATACAGATAGGTGTACATAGATAATTGCCCCAAACATTTACAGTAAGTATTGATCTTGGACTCTGAAATCAGCTTTACCATATGGAGCTATGCCATCTTTCCTGCCTCTCCCTCCACACCTAAAGAGAGGAAAGAAAGAAAACATCTTACTCCACTGCCTTTTTGTAGACTTCAATGGCTTTGTCTCTATCTCCCTCCATCAGGTAGATTTTCCCCAGCATTATGTATGTCAGGTCATGTCGGTTGAGCTGCAAGGCGTTGTTTAGTTGATCTTTTGCCTGAATGGAAGACAAAGAATGGGCTTGGAATTGGCAATGTTACCATCACCCTGAGCCAGCCTGAACACAGTTCTTATTCTATGGTGGCTTTTGCTGAAACAGACCTACCTCTCCCCAACAATGTCAAGCAACTGCTGGGGGGGTGGGGGAGAGAGGGGAGAAAAAACATATAAATGCTGGGCTTTCTATTACTTGTACTCTTCATGGCTGCCAAAAATGAAAGCAGAAGGGCAGTGTGTTGAAAGTTTGGCTACCCCTTCATTCTAGAAAATAGTAAGCAAGCCTAAACCTAGAACCAATTGGATGTGGAGTTCGATCCTGGGTCTATCAGGCAGCCCACTGATCTTCCTGGGCTGAATGAATAGTTGCTCCTCAAGGACCCCAGCTGGGAAAAGAGTTCCCCAGCCCTGCTATCACTACTGGGCTTCTTTTATGTGGAGAAAGAAAATTGCATGCAAATGTATGACAACCTTCTGCACTGTAGGATTGTCCACGTGAGTACTACAACGTTGGCACTACAATTCCCAGCATGTCCAGCCACGTTCCAATACATTTAGAAAGCTCCAGTTTGGGAAAATGTACCAGATGGTAAGCTTTCTCCCCAATTATCTGGCCCACTTAGGAGCCATGGCACCCTTATCTTCAGCCAGCCTTCTTCCACATGGGCTGTGTTCCTGCAACATGTGTCACATGCATCGAGGTAACTGATGGTCTGGGAGTGGCTGACCTGGTTTACCCTCCCATCCAAACAGATCCTTACAAAGCAAGCAAAAGGAAATATAACAGGTAAAGTAACAGCCTGTCATTCAACTGTGATTTCTGAATCCCCTCTACTTTCGACAATTATTTATGTGTACATGATTTTAAAATGTCTCTTGGCTGTTCATAATTTTTCCAGATTGAATCTGTCATCTATGGTGCTACTTCCGAGCCTTCTACCTTTGGCGCTTTATTCCCCCAACCCCCATGTAAAACTGTAATTCATTACATGAAGCTTTGAGGACGGGCTCTTTCTCTTTCTCTCTCATTCTATCCCTTTTCCCCATCCCCGTTCCCACCCACACACCACCCACCCACTCCAAATTCTGCAGTAAATGAGTTCTCATTTTCTCTCTCCTTCCTTAAATGCCACCAGCCAAGCTGGGGAGTAAGCTCTGGGCTGAGACTAGAGTTGCTCTGGGTTTGAGGAAGTGTAAAGAAGCTAAAGATGCCAGCCGACCTGGAGGTACCAGGGTTTTATAGGTCATCCTGCAAAGAAGTGCTGATGCCAGCATGAAGCTCAGAATTGATGAAGTGTGCCGAGACAAAACAGTTTCTTCCTGCTAAACCATCCCCATCAAAAGGCATTGATTCGAAGGTCTTCTTTTCCTCTCCTCCAGACCCAGCTGGTGGGAGGGAGGGGAAAAGTTTTGATATTTCTCCCCCAGGCACATTAAAAAGGGGGGGGGGTTGGGGGAGACAGAGAGAGAGAAAGGCGCTTACCATTTTAAAAAAAGAATTGCTGAATGCAGCACAGCATATTCATTGCTAAAAGGTATAAATGGCACAACACTCTGTAGACTTCATTATATTTTATAGGCTGATGTAAGTTAGCGCAAGGGGGACAGTGTGTGATGCGGGGAGGGGGGGAGAAACAAGAGAGTTCCTCAACCTAGCAGCAAAAAACACTAGCAAGCCTCCCATTGAAAAGCAAAGATCACCTCACGCAAATGGGAGAGTAGGGAGGAACCATTTTTCATGGCTGGAGAAAAGCAAGCCAAGGAACCTTCCTTAATAAAATCTTGGCTTGGTCTTAGCAACCAGAACAAGCAAACAAGTTCTGACTGCGATGTTACTGGAAGAGGCAGCATCGGTACAAGGAACAAGCAGCCGCATCGCTCTTAAATGTCTTCATTGGAAAGGTACAGGAACCAGTTGTGACCTGCACTTAGGAGGGTTGCGGGACAAAGCTGAAGCAGCAAGATGGCATAGTCCCAGCTGAAGATCCTTTTTCACACGGGCGCTTAAATGTATCAAGTAATGAGGTGCAGATTCTGGCATTCGAATCGGAATTGAGAAACGGCTTAGAATTTTGGAGAATTCCTGACTGAGCCAATAAAAGCTGGGACCTTGAGCCTCATGGATTTCCCATCATGTAAAACAGAGATGGTCTTCCAGAGAACTGAACTGCCCACGTTTACCTTGTTGAAATATTTCAGCTGCATGTAGCACACTCCCAAGTTATGGAAGATTTCCTAGGTATGAAAAGAGGGGAAGTTTATACACAAGGGAACGGAAACCATTTCTCATTGCATATTGCAAAATGCTGAGGTCAAGTTCATTATTTACCACAAAAAACAAACAGGCAAACACACTGCAAATAATCTCAGGATTCATTAGTAATTTCAGCCCATAAATCAGCCTTTCCCAACCTGCTGCCCTCCTGCGGGACATCTGAGAGGAGAATGCTGCATGTTAAAATCCAACATATCTGAACAGCAGGCAGTTGGGAAAGATTACCAAGATACAGATATAATGAAAAGGGCACCTTGGTAAAGATGTAGTCAAATATGCCAGTTAAACCTTCTTCTGAGGCTAACAGCCTATGTGGTGCAATGGCTAAGATGTTGGACCAGGAATGGAGAGACCCAGGTTCTGGTCTACCCTCAGACACAGAAACTCACTGAGACCAGGTCTCTCTCTGTCTCTCAGGTCAACCTAACTCACAAGGTTGTTATAGGGGAAAATAGAAGGAAATCTATTTTTGCTGCTTGGAGCTCCTGAATAAAAGGAAGGATCTAAATCAAAGGAATCCTGTACATAATTCCAATCTTAATCTAGACCAGTGTTTCTCAACCTCAGCCACTTTAAGATGTGTGGACTTCAACTTCTAAGTCCACATGTCTTAAAAGTGGCTGAGGTTGAGAAACACTGATCTAGACAGTTAAATTTTAATGTATGGATGCAGAAAATAAAATTTTGGTTCAATATCAATATCATGCAATAAAAAGGTAGAACTGTTTACCATATGACCATGTTATTCCAACTTCCTAGGTTTGCTGCTGGAATACTGCAGAAGTTCTAAATCCCACAACTGGCCAACATTTAATTGAGTCCAGAGAATAACCACCACAATGAAAGAATGCATGTTTAAGCTTCTGGGCCTATCCTCTGAGAAAAATATTTCTTCCAGATGAGGAAAAATTAGAAGATGGGATATAAAACAGAGCAATCAAGGAACATAGATTACATACCAAAATTATGCCCAAAAAATAGAATTCAATGAGGGTAGCAGCTAAATGCTATACAATAAATATTTGATTATAGTAACCAAACCCTACTTCTGACCACAACTTAGAATTCCCACAAGAGGTAAAACATGCTCTCCTGTACTGTAATTGTTTTGAGAAAGAAAATGCAAAAACTGCTATAAACAAGCAAAGTCCAGACTTGTATTTTTCTACTAGATTATTAAATGAGGAAGTAATCCTTTCTTAGAAGAAGCCTGCTGAAAACCTTGAAAGATTGAGAAAACTGAGCAATGTTGCTTAATAACTCTCTCTTAAAAGAATCATTAGGCAGATCATTGTGACCTTTTTGGACCTGACAAAGGACAGTCAGAAAGTTATCGTGCTTGTAGGTTGTAGCCTATTCAATTCTTAATGTTCAGGTAACAGGCCAGTTTCTCTCTGGGTGGATCATCTTTCCAATCAATATTGAATTTAACACCAGCCCACAGCATGAAAAGAGACATACAAATGACATACATTTTATAGCAACCATGTGGATTTAACAAGACAAAAGAGCCTATTCAAACAGTGGGTTGGCTGTTACTGAGAGTCATAAAGTGCTGCCATCTTTAATGTAAGAGAATGTCATCCACGCAAGTGAAGCCTGATTAGGAGAGCTGTTTATGCTTCCAAAGAGAAAGATCTCCCTATGGGAGGAGGGGGCACAAGTTACAAAACGTATTTTGTAATTATGAATTTTATGGAGGGTTGGAGGGAAGTATGTTGTTTGGGATTGCCTGGTTTGGAATTCTGGAGTTCTTTTTGGGGGGGGGAGGCAACATATAAACTTAGATAATAAAATCTTTGGGGGCATCTGCAATTTTATTATTATTACTTTTTATTTCCCCAGGCCTTGACAAGTTTTTAGAACTTTTATGTTTATTAGTTACAGGCAACCTGCCAACTTCAGCCTTTTGCAAGGATCAGTTGCTAAGTTTGGGAATAATGATTTTTTCTTTGCAGCCTACTGGTTAAAGATGAGGGAAAGATGGTGCACCAGAAGAGGAAGGAGAGGTAGTGTCAACTACTTCTGGATCTGGCCCTGGCTAGACTCAGATGTAGCTCCTAAGAGGTGGGGATGGTGTTCTTTATAATAATTTTAAAAATCCTCATTCCTGGTGTATTGACTCTTGAATTAACATGGCCTGGTACTGTTATGTTCCAGCAGTTCTGCTTATGCATATTTTAGCTGAAAATTTGGTTACCTACTCTAAGAACCCTATAAGAAACATCCTAAATCAGTGTTTCTCAACCTCGGCAGTTCGAAGATGTATGGACTTCAACTCCCAGAATTCTGGGGAATTCTGGGAGTTGAAGTTCATACATCTTCGAACTGCCGAGGTTGAGAAACACTATCGTAAACAAACAAACAGCTGTGCTTTGGCAGAGATATCTTTTGGCATCGGGAGCTGCAGCCTGTACATTTCGGCTCATGATCTTTGGCCTCTGCTGGTAAGCTGTGAAGAAGTGATTAACAAGCACCTAGCATTCAAGTGGCAGAGTCTACTAAGCCAAATTTTATTTTCCTGACCAGTATTGAGACAGGCAGCCAACCTCGTGCGTATCCAGCAGAGACACCCATGCTTCTTCCATTTTGTTCTACCTCTGGAGATGGCTGGATATTGCATCTCAGACCTTACGTCACAGGGCCTGAACCCAACCTTAACCCTAACCAAAGAACAGTCTGTCCTTGCTTACATGTTCATCCCATCCTAAGCCGAGCTGTTCACCTATACAACAGAAGCCCTTTGGGCTACCGGAGCAGCATTTTCTCCTGCAAGTTGTATCGCTGTCCTGCCAGTTTCATCTTAGAAGCTTCTCCACCTGAGCCATGTTTTTAAGGAGTGGTTGCTACTCATATAAAGAAGAAAAAAATGTATTGTCGAAGGCTTTCATGGCCGGCATACGATGGCTGGTGTGGGTCTTCCAGGCTGTGTGGCCGTGTTCTGGAAGTTCCAGAACACGGCCACACAGCCTGGAAGACCCACACCAGCCATCGTATGGTGTGGGTCTTCCAGGCTGTGTGGCCGTGTTCTGGAAGTTCCAGAACACGGCCACACAGCCTGGAAGACCCACACCAGCCATCGTATGGTGTGGGTCTTCCAGGCTGTGTGGCCGTGTTCTGGAAGTTCCAGAACACGGCCACACAGCCCGGAAGACCCACACCAGCCAAGAAAAAAATGGTCTAGAACTAGCCTGTGGTCCTTCCCTGATCTGTCCATATCCAACCCTAACACGTCTATTTAGGAGTAAGGAGGAGAGCCTTACACATACCCAGTCCTTCTGGTTGTGCTGAGCTGCATCGCTGTAGACTTCAACAGCTGCTTTGTGTTTGCCCAGAAGAAACCTGCAACAAATTCCCACTTCTTATTTTTCTCAGCTTGTTTACTGGAGAAGTAATGGTTTGTCAGCCACGGGATCAAAGGGAGCTTTAGGGATACCACTTGCATTCTCAGCCAGAACAGAGCAGCCGAGAGCTGCCTAAAGAATTATAATCTTTATCACCAGAGAGGGACAGTCATCTCCTCTGAGCTGGGTAAAAAACATTTTATTCGAACCCTTCACCCTGCTTTCCTGATCCAAGGCCAGAGGCAGTCATAGCATGCCGGAAAAGCAGGATCTCTCAGGTGGCTCTAGAGATACACAAAAGGCAGCTAAACACAAGGAATGACGTGAGGGGTAAAAATAAAATAAGATGACTGTCTTGGGAGCACAATCAAAACCCTGCCCTTTTGTACATGGGTGGGATGTTCAGGTGAGTACAAAAGAAATGAGGCTTCAAACCACCATCTTGCCCTTTTTGACTCCTCCCCGCTCCTCAGCCCTCCTTTAAATAAACACAGACATGAATTACAGTTTGTTAATAATTCCAAATCCAAAATGTGCTATGGTTGGGTTCACATAACATGTTAGGCTACTACTGGCTAAAGGAGAGTAGGAGTGTTTATGGCTGAGCCTGTGGTTAGGAACGCAGCCTTTCTCTTCGCAGGGTATGTGAGCCAGGTGCTCAGGTAAGATATCATGAGGTTCGTTCTGAAAAATTAACACAACAAACAGCTTTGAAATCTCTTAAAATGAAGGATAAACTTAATTCAGTTTTGGTCTATACCAGTGTTTCTCAACCTTTAGGACTTTAATTATTATTATTATGCATGTTAGC